AGCTGAAACCATCGAAAATGAAGTCTTGGTGTGACACACAACTTGGCTGTAGTGGAAGGTGGAAACTAACAGGTTTCCAGCCACAACGCCATACAAAGGTGCAATTAAGAATATCTGGATGTCTACAGGCCTGGAAACACATTTCCCTAAACTGAGATCCTTCCAGATGACCCCAACCCTAACCCCAATAAATTCATGATTCCACCCATCGTGCTTCTAATAAGGAAACTAAAGCAGTAGAGAACTTAAGGGTGGCTGAAGCTGAGATGATGGAAGTTGGAAGATGAAGTCTACTCATCTTCAAGCAGCCAAGGTTGAGAAACCCTGGCATAGAGGTTCCATCTTCTTTTCACCCATTGCCTCACCTGTAGACCCTCTTGAATATCCTTCCAGGGAATCCTGTAAAAGCAGAAGGTCCCTTCGGCCAAGCATCTGCAGCTGGTCAAAGCATGTCAACTTTGATGAATGCCATTCAGTAAATGCAGGCTCTGAATGTAAGCAGTAAATCCATTATTGACATGTAGTGTGGTTGACAGAAATGTCAATAGCAATCAGAAGAATATTTCATTACACAGGGATACATAAGAAATAGATTATTTTGCCTGACTGGATGGAAAGGCCTCCATATCACCTTGCTAACAAAACCACCTTTTGTGTTGTTGGTTTTTTTTTTTTTGTGAGCTGCAGAACTTCACATAAATGGAAATAAATCAATACCTCTGAACGGCGCTGCTGGGATGATTCAGAAGAATAGCCCAAAATGCATCAAGAGCAGCTCTTTGTCTGGCCAGCTCCGTGTGTTCGCTTGCATAAATGAATCAAAGCAAATTATACTCAGCATGATGCAAGGATCCCATCGTTGCTTCTATCCATAGTTATGTGTTAACCGAGAGCTGCCCGTGTTTGTTCTGCTCCTTTTATTAATTTTTAGTTAATAGCAGAGGGAGGGGTTCTTATCGCTTTTCTTTAAATTATCCCTGCGTGGTGCGTGCCTCCTCACTGTCCGTCGGTCTGTCTGATCCCCTTGCACTATTGGCCCCGAACGCTCCTTGTTCTTGGCATTCTCCCACCTCTTAAGTGACCCTGTTGGCTGCTGTTACTTTCTTGGAGGTGTCTATAGTTTTCTGGGGTAACCAGGACAGAAAAACATGGGCTCAGTTGTCCCCCATTGTTAGAAAGCTGGGGGTTGAGGACAGACCACCATCAGTTCACCATCAAGATGAGCCACCCCAACAGACGGCCAATCCAACAGCAGCCCACTCTTCGTTTTGTTGGAAGATGAGAGCTCCTGCGTGTGCGAGACTTCCCTTGTTGTGGTACTTGAGTTTGGAAGGAAGGCTTCCAAGCAGCTGTTTTATTGTCTCCTTGAAATGATGGCGGCATTGCTATCTTTTAAATATATGTCTGTGGTGTTACTTCTCCGCTGAACAATTATTGTCACAATCTGTCTGCTCCACCAGAAATTGTCCTTAATTACCAGTTTCTCTTTGCCTGGGTTGGAAACAAATATAAGATCAGTAATCATTTAAAGCTCTGGATTTTAAGGCTAAATATCTGACAATCAGACACCGCTTAATGGAGCATGAGATTGTTCAAATCCATGGCCTGGTCTGGTGTGACTTGAACTGTCATCAGGAGAGACTAACCGTGGTCTCTCCTGCTTACAACACATTAGGCCATCTTTCCTTTCTTTGTGAGATGGAAGCTAGTTGACGGATGCATCCAAGTTTCAGAAAGCTGTAGCACCAAAGTATTATGTAGGTGAAAGTAACTGTGGGCTCCTACAGATACCAGCCAGACCTTAATGTAAACCCAGCCTTCAGCTGTGCAAATGTCACACTTTTCCTGGTGAGAATCAGAAGAGAACAAGAGAACATTTAAAGAATCGGCTCAAGTCACATTTTCTTTGCGTAAAACATAGCCCAAATAATTCCTTAGCAATGCAGAAACTTTCTCTGGATTTGCGTGGTTGTTTGCAGAGTGTCGTTCTTTCCTTGCTTCTGGGTCTGCCTTAAAATGTGATTTCAATTATGGGTTTAGCTTTGAGTGCGCCAGGGAGTTACATAAAGGGCCACGATGCTCTCAGGTCTGCCGTTTTCTTTCTCTTTCTCTTTCTCTTTTCCGTCCCCTGGCCAAGTTTGGGCAGAAGACAAGAGTCCTTCCTCTTGCGTCTGTCTTTTCCTGGTGGATATTAATGGCTTTTGATCCAGAGCCCTGAATTAACCCAGGGTGAAGGCCACCTTCTGCAGAGGGGGGGGGGGGAATACCCGCCCCGCAAATCAGCTCCAGCCCACCCGTTTGTAAGGAAGAGCCTGGCTGACCTGGTGAGGAGCAGAGGAAGAAAAGCACCTCTGGAGCTTTCCCTGCTCATCTCTGGGGGAATCTGGAGTTCACCCTCAGGAAGACCCGCCATCAGTCCTGGAAAAGCAGGAAGTGTGGGAAAGAAGCTCCCTCCACCCCCCACCCATAAAAAGGGGGGCCCAGGAAACCCTTTCACAATTGGGTTATTATATCCTGCAACCATCAAGCAGCATTCCTGTAATGACCTGGCCTACCTCACAGGGTTGATGTCCTGCGGTCACTTGATCGTGATTTGAGAGCTTCAACTAGGATGAATTTATGCTGGCTGCGATAGGGCCACACAATTGCCACAAGAAAGATCAATGGGGCGGGGGGTGGGGGGCAGATTCACTCAACAACTTAACAGTTGTGGCAAAAAGTTGTCAAAATCAGGCTGGATCACCTGATGATCTATTGAACCATCGCAATGCTTAGTGACAGAAGTTCTGGGCCCAACTGTTGTCCTAAGACAAGGACCCTCTCGTCTGCAAAATCTTCCAGGCAGCATCCCAGAATGGAGAGTCAACGCAGTCCGAAACGCAACGGACGGCCTTCTCTTTTGTTGGAAGACATTCTACAAGCCGTGCACATACGCAACACGAACGAGGAAGGAAAAGTGGGGTGGAATTGGCCACCTAGACGAAAAGGTGTTCAAAGCGTTTCTGACAATTAGTTTCTCTCTTTGTCTTGGCCTTTCCTTGCTGCCTGGATGCTTCGGTTCCTTTTGGGAGAAGGGAAAATAATCGATGAAGGAAGGAAGATACGATACATGCAAAGGAAAAAAAGAGAGAGCGCCATTTTAGAGCAGGAAGCCCCCTCCTCATACTACTTGGGGTCTTTGGAACACTCCAGTCTTTTTTATAACCGACCTACACACTTGCAAAGTGCCTTAAGGCCAAACCAGCCTAGAAAAGTAGAACCTCAGATGGCTTTGGCCGCAGACGGCCCAGAAAACGCATGTCTTACCTTCAGGAATATCCCACACCGAGAAGGCAAAACTTCTATAGCACTTTTGCTTTGCAAGGAACGTTTAGAGGGCGAAGCGGCGTTGTGGGCATGGCGACATCCTTGTGGCTTGTTCTGATCCCCGTGTCTTGGCTCCAGGCTACCACCGGAGATCTTGGAAGCCCTTTTGACGTGCTCTCGCTCTCCCTCTTTCCCAAGGGGCCAGATTGGGTTCGAGGAAGCATCAGACCGGCGGCCTGGGGCCACCTAGCTTGGGTGCAACCCCCAGATCTAGGACGCTTGGGCAGAACAACCCCATGGAGTTTGTAGTCCAGGAGCTTTCTTGTAGATCTGTAGCCCCTCCCGTCATCCTTACCCCCCCCTCCACCTCCCCCCCCCCCAATAAGCCAGCGCTCTTCCAGGCATTTTTTAACACACGGTTTTGGCTCCCAGCAACACGGTTGAGAGCTTTGATCTCCTGATTTTCCCCATCTAGAGAGAAGGGAGAAGGAGAACCCCCGTTTTGCTGAGACAGACAAATTGCCAGGCAATTCAATTGGGTGAATTTCCTGCCCCCCCCCGCACCACCCCACCCCCACTCCTTCCTGCTGCCGCTTTTCGTTTCTGCTCCATTCGGTAAAGCCCGGCCCAGCCGAAAGTGCCGTTTCTGTCGAGCTACAAGATCTGCAGTTCATTCAGTCCCCAAGTCGTAATTATGGCTTTTGCCTGTCCAAATGTACCAACAGCCAAGAATGGTGAAGAGGCCGAGAGCTGGGCAGGTCGGGAGGGGTGTGTGTGTGTGTGGGGGGGGGGGAGGTCTCTGCCTTTTCTTCTCCGGCTGGATGCCGCAGATGAGCGGCAGGGTGGGGTTTCCATGGGGGTCTTTTGGTCTGGGCTGACAGACGCGGCTCAATCAATCCATCTGGAGCTTCTCCCTCCCCCCCCCGACCCCCAAGACGTAATAAGGACCATGGAGAATGCAAGGCTTGGTTTCACCTTTTGGTCTTTCTTCAGTTGCTACGTGATGTGGACATTAAGTGAGTCACGTCCTATTCGAGGGCCTCTTGTCTGCCAAGACTGTTAAACAAACCTGGTTTCCCCCATTGAGTTGACTTGTGTCCGAAGCCAGCTGGGGAGGTGGCAGGTGGCAGTCAGGTGGCCCCAGGAGGCTGCAGGTGCAGGGCCCGAATGTGGAGGATGGGACTGTGTGTGTGTGTGTCACTGTGAGGATCTGGTCAGAAGCCGCTTCGTCCAGGGGGCCATCAGGACGGGGCGCTTGCCTTGTCTTGCAAAGCCCCTGGGGGCCACCCCTGCCTGGCTGGCTGGAGGGCTTGGGCCACGATTGACCCAGGGGGCAAAGGCCCAGCAGGAGAACCTGAGTTGGGGGCTGTTGGGGTGGGGGGGCGGAGTTTACCTTCAGAGACAGAAATTATCTCCAGCCAGGGCAACCCGCCCCCCCGGGGGGCGGCGGGGGGGGGGGGGGGGGGGGGGGGCTGGGGGGGGGGGGGGGGGGGCGGAGCGGCGGCGGCGGCGGGGCGAGGCGAGCGAGGGGCGGCCCGGCGGGGCTCCGGCCGGTCACATGGCGCCTCAGCTGGGCCGCGGCGCGCGAGAGGCGGAGGCTGCCGCCGCCGCCGCCGCCGCTGCCAGGGCCGGTCGCGCTGCCTGGCGGGCGCCTGCCGCGGAGGAGCCGGAGCCGGAGCCGGAGCCGGAGCCGGAGCCTGAGCCGCCGCCGCCGCCCCGCCGAATGATGTGCTTGGTCAGCGCCGCGATGAAAGGTGAGGGGCGCCCGGGGGGGGGCTCGGCGGCGGGGGGGGAGAAGCGGCGCCGGCCCGGCTCCCCGAAGCGGAGGAGGGCAGGGCGGGCGGCGGAGCCCCGGACGCCGCGGCTCCGGCGGGGCGTCGCGGGGGCCGGTCCCGGCTTTGGGGGTCCCGGGGGGGCGGGGGGAGCGCGCGAGCGGGGAGCCGCGGTGGGTGCCCGGCCGGCTTCCCGGGTCTCTGCGCAGGGAGAGCCCCGCGGGGTCGGCCTCGGAGGGGCTTCTCCCCCGCGCCAACTCCCCTCCGGAGCGGAGCCAGTCCGGGGACGCCTTTGCCCGGCGGAGACCCGGGGCTTCGGGGGGGCTTTGGGCGCCTTCCAGCCCCGGCGTGGCGCCCCGTTGGGGGAAGAGAAAGGAAGGAACCCCCCCCAAAAAAAGGCTTCGCTAGCGCCCCGCCGCTTCCTTCGCCCCGGCCCCCTCCGGCCCCGGCCCCGCAGCGGGACGGCCGAGTTTCCAGCCCCTCTCGCCGTCTCTCTCCCGGGCTGAGTTGGCGGAGGCTCAGCCCTGGCACCCGGGGCGGGTAGCCGCGTTGGGTGGCGTCCTCCTTGGCGGCGCTGCCAAACATTCTCCGAAGGTCCCGGGCTGAGCGGGAACTTGCGCGTTTGTTTCCGGAGATCCGCCAGCAGCAGCAGCTCGACTGCGCGCCCAGGTTCGGCTGCCTTGGCGTTGTCGGCCTTTGCCCGCGACCCGCCTGGCTCCCGCTGGCTGGAGAAGAGGCTTTGGATTTGGCTACGATGTATGCGCGGACCGGCTTCCAGGGCACTCAAACGGGACTTGAGTTCCCCCTCTGAAACCCTGGCCAGGTGCAGAGCACCGTCCGGAGGGAACCCGGGACGTCAACCCAGCTGCCTTCCTTGGGGAAGCGGGTCCTGGACCTTTGCTTTAGGGCACCAGCTTGGGTCCCCGGAGCCTGCTCCCCGGGGGTGGGCTTGGATGGAGCGTGGGGTGCAGAAAGTCCTCCTGCCCGAAGGTGAGGCAGGCGGCCGGGGTGAAGGCTGAGCTCTGGCTTCGTGGAGACGCCCAGGTGCGAAGCCCGGAAACCTCTTCCAAAGCGCCCACCTAGGGGTGCAGGTAATCAAACGGGCGCCGCACCTGGGCTTCCCAGACCCAGAGCGTTGTCCCTGCCTGAAACGAAGGAGCGCGGGGTGCCCGTGAAAGTTGGCTAGATGGCTTAACATCCCGGAGAGGACCAACCCGAAGAGAGGAGCCTGCGCTTAAATGGAAGCTGGCTGGTGAAGGTTGGGTGATTGTCAAGTCCCAGAAAATGATTTTGTGCGATATGGTCTCTGACACGTTGCTTTAGGCTGGGTTTGTCATATCACATTTAGGTCTTAATCTTCCCATCTCTAGTCTTGCGGGCGGAGGAAACGGAGCTCCGGTAATGACTGTGAATGTTGGTGTTAGGTGGTTGTCTTCGTCTTGACTCATGGCCCTTTTCGTTTCTTTTTTTGATTTGCCATTCAAAAGCTGCGGGAGAAATCTACGTTAATAGCACTGATGAATTCTCTTGAATGTTACCGATTGCTGCAGCGTTGGTCTATTGCTAACAAACAGATTTGTGAAAATCATATTCCATCTCTCCTTCTCTCTTTAAATAATGCCCTTACCTCCCTCTTGTCTTGTGCTGACCTCTGGCTGCTGGGAAGTGATAGATTTGTTTGGTGTGTGCACAGAAAATGAGATGGGAAACATCAGGGAAAAATCACTTTTTAAGCTAAACTGTACAGGGGAAGTGGAGAAATGGGTCTTGATCCTAAGATTATTTTGTTGCACGTTGGTGCTTTGTTGGGCTTCCTAAGAGAATCACTTATTTAGATTAGGACCCTGAAAATGATGCAGAACTAAAATGGAACATGTGCCCTTTCGTATTCTTCTTCTCTTCCTCCCAAAATTTAGAGACAGCAAATTGCAGGGACGGTACTGTATCCCTTTGAAAATTAGCTCCCTATTCAAAAGGATAAACGTTCAGTTATAGAAGGGAGTGAAAAAAGAAAATAGTCCAATTAGTCTATTTGTGGTAATTATCAGAGTTTGGGGTATTATCTTTGTGATTCTATTAGTTTTACTTCGTTTGTGGTACAGCTTAACAATTCTAAATCTTTAGCCATCATCGCACATGATGCTTAAGTAACAACAACTTGGGATTTTTCTGACATGAATGAAGCTGTCTTCATTTTTATGGTTAAAAGTCATGGGAGCGATCTGTGGGTTGATTATCATGAGTATAGCCTGCAGTAATGCTGTAGAATAGCAAAAGGGTCTTTTAGCTGGTGCAAAGTCTTTCAGAGTCATGCTCTGCGAAACCCAGATCTCAGTCAGTAAAAAATAAACACCAATCTGATACCAGAGGAGAGTTATCAAAACAAGGAACAGACCGAAATGGTGTCTTCCTCCCCAAAGAAAGTCACTCCTAGTTCTTTACACACAGCCTGGAGAAGGAGATAGTCGAACGCTGATTATTATAAACGGCCCCTGCGTTCCTTCAAAATGGTTCTGTAGTTTTGCTACGCTAAATCCACACTTTGCCCAAGTCTTTTTGCTTCTGGGAAATAGACTCTTAAAGCATTTTGGCTCTAAACCGAGGCAGGCTGCTGTAATTAGCTCAAGAAAACAAAAATATTGTGGTTAAACAATCCCTTTATTGTTCAAAAAAGGTAAGATGCAAGTAATTAGATAACTCTGCCATACAGTGAATTTCTGTTACTAATAAATAATAGAGCCGTGATTGAGAAGGGACTTGGTAGGCCCTGCACATTCAGCAGGACTGCTGTGAGAAAATTGTCATTTATTAAACTGTGTCTTGCACTTCTTGCTGATATTTTAAAATATTTCTCTGGATTGCTTGTTTGAGCCTCCAAAGTTGTGACTGGAGTTTGTGACCTCCTTGTCAGAAATGAGATCTATTAAGGTGGAAGTAAAAAGAGGGGCAGGAGGCCACAATGCCTCACAATACTGAAAACCATCATTTGTTTCAGTGCAATGCACATACACACACACACACACACACACACACAAACACACACACACAGAGAACACGCTGTTACAGGTTTGTATTTGTGTGAATGCAACCACTGTGGCTGGATCAAGCTAGGGTTAAAACCCTCGTTTAGCGTGATCTATGAGCCTGGTCACCATAGATGAATTCACTCCCAGAAGGTTTGTGGAAGATTTCCCTTTCATGTTTAATTGCAATCTGTTGTTTTAGGCAGATTTGACAGACTGTATATTTTAGCTCGCATGTTTTCATTAAAGGCTGTTCCTGTTTTCCTGTTCCTTATATCTTGTCATCTAGTTTGGCCTACTCCTTTTTTAGGAGGGTATTCATTTTGTCAGTAAATAATAAGAGGAAAAACTTGGTTTCTCTCATTCTGGCTTATCTGAGTTGGCTCCGTAGATGAAGCATTTTTAAGATTAGGTTTCTTTTACTGGCAGCTTCATCCAAACTCCCTTTTTCTTGTTTTTGTTTCTGTGATCTTTGGGGACCAACTGACCACTGGCCTTGCCAAGCTCAGCTGGCTGGCACCATTAGCCCAGGAATACGGCCAGCCCCCCCCACCCCCCACCCCCGGAGTGGTCTTCACTCCACCTGCTCTGCCTTCCCAGTTCCTCAACCAGTAAGCTGGGGGAGGTTAAGAATGAGAATGGATGCCATGCCTTGAAGATGCTCCAGGCACTACCCATTTATTTTGGAAATGACGCAGCCAGTCAGATCCTTTGACATCAAGTCGAAGCTGTAGGCCAGCCCCAAAGCAGAGTATAATGATAGCAGTCTCTGCCCAATTGTTGGCACTCAGGTTATGGATGCCCCATTAAGCACCTTGAGGTCCTTCCTTCCTTCCTTCCTTCCTTCCTTCCTTCCTTCCTTCCTTCC